ACACACTTTTACCCCCAGCTCCACAATTACTCTGGCAAAACCAGATTCGGCTGTGAATACTATTGCTTCTTATTAAGAAAGTCTACTTCTTCCAATGAAGAAAACCAAAGACACAAAGGAAATATTAATCCAAAGGACTAATGGGCCACAACCACCACAGCCTCCACCACACTGAGTCCAGCACAACTAGCTGGTACCTGGCTACCACAACCAACTGCTCTGACAGGGATCACAACAGAGGGTCCCGAACAGAGTTGGAGAAAAATGTAGAACAAAATTCAAACTCACAAGAAAAAATCAGACTTACTGGTCTGACAGAGACTAGAGAAACCCCCGGAGTATGGCCCCCAGACACCTTTTTAGTTCAGTACTGACATCACTCCTGAGGTTCACCCTTCAGCCAAAGATTACACAGGCCCATAAAACAAACAATAATACACGTAGCTCAACCATGTATACGAGACTAAATGGGCCCACCAGCCTAGAGACAAGGACGAGAAGGCAGGAGGGGACAGGAAAGCTGGACAAATGGAAATGGGGAACCCAAGGTCGAGAAGGGGAAACTGTTGACACGTTAAACATTGCAGGGTTGGCAACCAATGTCACAAAACAATATGTGTATTAATTGTTTAATGAGAAACTAATTTGCTATGTAAACCTTCACCTAAAGCACAATTAAAAAAACAAAAACAAAAACTTTATTTACAAAAAAAAAAAAAGAAAGTCCACTTCTCCCAGTGAAAGATATCCATATGGGACAGCAGCACGATACTAGAGCAATCCATAGAGCTTTGGAAGTATACAAGTTTGCAAAATCACCTCCATTTTAGAGTCTGCCAAGATGGGTAATCTGCCTGTAAAGAATAAAAACATAGAAGGCATTTAAAGAAATAAAAAAAGAGCTTGGAGTTTAAAGAACTTTGGGATATGGAAATTATCCAGGTAAACCTTTTATTTATTTCTAAATTCTAATCATTTTAAAAGCCATAGATTTCTAAGACATAACATAAGAATACATATATCCCTTCAACTAGGAAATGATTCTTGGAATTTAAATTTTTAGACAGGTAAATGAATGCCTAAATGACATAATTCTTTCAAATTTCATGTTTTATGTGAATGACAAAAACACTGAAGCATGCAAACATTGGGCGCCTAACTGGAATCAAGCCATAGGGAAACAATGAAGCCTCACACATTGTATTGTAACATAGGGAGATGCAAATTTTTCTGGGGAACTCTGGTATATAACTTCCCTAAGATTCTCAAAATGTTCAAAGTCCCTAAAAATACCTGAACTACTACTCAAATTGGCAGCCAACAACAACAACTACTATCTGTAAACCAAAGAAATGAGAAAAACAAATACCAAAATAATGTTAATAGGATTATATAACACTACTTTTCCCAGCATGTCCCACACAGTATAGAATCCGCATAACTATACTCAAACTCAGAACACATTAAACCTTCAAATACACATCTGCTAGTGTGAAATAAGTTAGAGCCCTGGTGGCACAGTGGTTAAGAGCCCAGGATGCTAACCAAAAGGTCAGCAGTTCAAATCCATCAACTGCTCCTTGTAAACCCTATGGGGCAGTTCTACTCTATCCTACAAGGGTCACTATGAGTAGGAACCGACTTGATAGCACCTAACAACAACAACATTTGGTGACCAACTATCCAACACCGCTCTAACAAAGCTAATGCAATATGTTAAACACAAACAAGAGAACAAGGGAATGACTTTCAGGAGTTTGTCTGAAACAGAGAATTAAAAAGACTAACAAGACTAAAGCAGCATGAAAAATATTTTTAAAAGTGAAGAGATGAGGAGGCACCAGTGTCTGAAACAATGAACACTCTAGGGTTAACTACAGTACAGGGACTCAAATATCACACTAATCAGAAAACTACTATGTCAGTTTCTGTAACTCCTACAATTTAAAAAAGGTATCCTAAGCTACCCCCCAGAAGACTTTTGAATGAAAAGACTGAAGTCTTAACAAAAAAAAGTAAAATATCAGTATAATAAAAGATAAAAAACAAAACCTAGAGGAAATGGATAAATTTCTAGAAACACACAGCCTACACAAACTACAACAAAGTGATGCTGAAAATCTGAACAGACCCATAACAAGAGAAGAGACAGAAAAGGTAATAAAAAAACTCCCAACCAAAAAAAGCCCTGGCCCAGATGGCTTCACTGGAGAATTCTA